AAACAACATAAAATAGGAAACGCAGTGCACTGCGGTTTGTACTTACTGTTCGCGTTCCTCCAGTTCGACCACCCGAGTACTGTCTGTGTTTTGTTTAGCAAGTCCAAATTAAAAAGTAGAGCAGAAACAAATCAGTTTCGTGTTAGTGAAAACTACTGAATAAACGTATGCTCGTTGCCATAATGTCAACTGTTATTAATTATGGATAAAACTTATATAAGTATTTTTCGAAGAAAATTTGTAAGGTGAAAATTATCTTGTAAATTTATAAAGTTACTGAAGATACATTTAACATTACTTTTTCTATATCACGTGTGGCGGAAATTTTTTAAATAACTAAAATATATATTAAAAATACTAGCCAAGTATCATTTGAAATAAATGAATGTTCAAGCACTAAAATAGCAACCAATAAAAAAATTTTAGAGACTTTATAATATTAATAACCTGTTCATTCCATTTCTGTTGAATGTCTATGTTTGTTTTGCAAAAGTTATAAATTTATATTATTAGAATTACATGCACACATACATACACACAATAAGAGAATCGCGAGAAAGTTGAAAACGAGATGAAAAAAGCAATTAATTAGTATGAGGTGTGACGTGACGTTTTCCGTCCGTAATAAGTCGTATGATTCGATCGGGAAAATGCGACATTTTGGCTTCCTGTATCTCTCCGTTGTATGTACAGAGGCGGGCGTGCTAGGGAGAGCCTCATTAGCGGCTAAAAGAATCCTGCCGCCGAATTGAATTCCACGTGCAAAGATATGTTTTTTGTATTTTGTGAAGCTATTGCTCAAAGCTGAGACCGATCAATCGAAAATTATTCGAGTTACAGACGCCAGTTGAAAAAAAGTTGTTTTGGGAAAAACGCGTTTAAAGATGCGTACATCTCTGCACTATGCGCCGGTTCGCTAAAACTTCACATAACTCGAGGAATACTTCGAATTTCATAAAAACCTTTTATAAGGAGCATATTTTTAAAATAAAATTTTTCGAAAACTGTAAACAAAAGTTTTCGACTTTTTTGAAAATTTGACTCTGGCTTACCCCTTTAATTTCACGAAAGAGTATCAGTGAAAGAAAAGATTGGTTGCTGCAGCAAATTAGATGGTTAAATATGGCATAACATATTTAATTGGCTGCAGCAACCAATTTTTGGTTGCGTTAGCTAATCGAAATCCTATACTGATATTGCGGATAGACTTACACAACCAATAATTTATTGCAGCAATCAAAAATATGGCAATCAATTAAAAATGCTGTGCCATATTTTACCATCTATAATTTGCTGCAACAGCCAATCTTTTCTTTCAGTATGGCACCCTCACTCGTGCCTGACGCCCAATTACCGGTATTGCGACTGAGAATTGTGTAAGTCTGGAAATTTTTTTTTTCTGTCGCGTTAATTTCGAGATTCGAATAAGTTATTTGTGAAAACTTTAAAGAATATTAATCGCAAACACACGACGAAATTGCACCATGCTCGTGAGTGTGGTCGCAGCGGATGCGAACGTACTTTTTGCAACAATTATTACGGAACGATTAACTTTAAGTGGCAGTTTTACTGATTGTGAGAAAGATATTGAAAACAGGTTCCATTATTCCCTCTGATTATAATATTGTTAACTTCATTGTATTTGAATATTTTATAAATTTAATTTGTAAAGTAACATGTAGAGAATAATATTATATTACGAGTCAGACCTTCACATTGTATTGATCATCGTCAATTATAATGCCTATCTTTATGTGTGCGGTAACTATTTAAAATCATAAATAATGAATGACCGAAATCTTGTTATGAATTAAAAATTCTCAAATTAGTTTCATTTATAATAGAAGCACATTGATTTAATGAGAGACATCGCTGCTTTGGATTAATTTTTCTGTTTATTATTGGATCACATCGTTAATAATGAATAGATACAAAGACTTTTGAAAATATAATAGATACTAAAAAAAGAAAGAGGGTCATACAATTAAAAAATATTAAATAAAAATAAAATTAAACACAAATTTTATTAAAACGTAATAGAATGACTTACTGAGTTTTTTCAGCTAAAATAAATAAATAAACAATGTATATAAAACACAATAATAAATAATAAATAAAATTAATCGAAAATTACAAAAAAACAGGAAGACAATAAATAAAAATCACAAAAGCTATGTCCAAATAAATAAGCACAAAAAATCAAATAAAAATAACAAACATTATTTTGGACGTATAAAGTGATATAGTTATTAATGTTTTTTTCTTCCTAGAAAATATGCCTGTAAAATTATATAAAGTCTCTTTGGAAACTGATAAGTATAAAATATTCTTACAATGAGATACTCTCTTTAGATATTAGAATAGTATTATACTGTTACGTCCAGCGGATTCCCACGCTCTTTTCTTTCGTGAAGATCTGGAGATCGTTAGAATATAAAGACAGTTACGAGTAACGGATAAATTGAGCAGTTCCAGCCTAAAAAGCAATAAAAATTTTTCTTTTTCCATAACAAATTGAAGTGAAGGCTCCAGTATCTCCCCGTAAATGTCAACCCAAGATAAATTAAAAATCGGTGCACGTGCGCGAACGGCGGGATTAAAGAGACATCGATGATATCCTCCTTGGAGACACCGTGACTGGAAAAAAATAATAAATAATAATAAAAATGTCAGTTGGAGGCGCAGAACAGGCGCCAAAACATTTTCCTAACGGTTAAGTCGCGGACAATTCTCACGAGTGTGTGTTTCAGATGTTCTCCCCCGCTCAATCATTGCTCACAATTTAGATGACCTTTCCCTCTCGCTAGCAGACTCTCCTTTCACGATCTCGTAATTATCCACGTAGAGGAATGTCCGTTCCTTTTTATTACAACTTTACTACCCTTACAACATCTCCATCCTCTCATCCAGTTCTCACTCGCACCCTCTCTCTAATTCCTCAAATTTAGTTCTTTCAACTCTTTGTTGCACACACACACACACACACACACACACACACACACACACACACACACACAACACACACAACACACACACAACACAACTTCTCTGCTCCACTCACACACGTACACAACTCACACGAATTACACGAAGAATATATTTATAATTAGTTTGTAAACACAAGAAAAATTTACTAATGCTCTTTTTTATAATTATATTATGGTAAAGATAAAAAAATCCGGCTCTGTTAATTTAGAGAGAACTCTTCCTGTATTTATTCCTAATTAGTCTGCAATTGGCACTGGCATTAAAGTGCGCCTCGTGGCACATTGACCCAATTTATGCCCTTTAAACAAGTGCGTTCAATTCGTGAGTCCACTCAGCGGAGCGTTGACCGCGAGAGAGGTTTTTCGTTTCGTCCTTCCGACCCCCGGCTCGTCAAGTCTAGAGCCAGACGAAACGAAACATTTCCCGATTTACATTGGTCTTTCCCCCAGCTCCTTGATTATTCAGAGCTTGGACAGAATTAGTACGATTCGGTTCCTGCTGCATTCATCCCCAACTCCTTGGAATTCGGAGCTCGGACGTAACAATATATATACATAATATCATTAATTTTAAAATATATTTAATTTATGATTGGAAAAGTTCATTAATTTGATTTATTTCCTAGACAAATTAAGTCTATACATTAAAACATTAAACTATCTAGTTATTTTCTCCGTATTATCATAAAATTAATATCGAAAATTTTCCACAGTATCTTATTTAATTTATTTCGATCTTGTACATTCATTTAATTCATACGGCACTGGACCTTTGTATTTAATATGTCTACGAATCATTTTTTAATTAACATTAATATACTGCAATATGATATTATAATTTATGACATTGTAATTCTTTTTGTTTGAAATTATATTTATAACGAAAAGAAATTATTAAAAACAAATTAATATTGATCAACATTATAGCAGCGAAGCATACGTTTCTTCTTAATTGTTCATATTTATCTCTATCTAAATGGAAATTTTATGTCGTTTAACTACTTTATACAGAAATGTCAAATAGTGTGAGCATGCTTTTATTCTACTTAGCATAAATTATATAAGATAATATAATATTGTATACAATGTGTAATATATCTACATCTGTTTGCACGCACTGGGTTAACAAAACTTTATCAATAAATAAAATGTTTTTCAGAATAATACAATCGTTCTCTAAATATATAAATGTTATATTAATAAATCAATTTAATGTTTTGCAACACGTGATTAAAGTAATTTTGATATACTTACGATTACGTGTGATTCAAGCCGTTATTTGTAAATATTAAAAAGCTTTATATATAAAATTGAATTAAATTCTCAAAGAAAGTATAAAGTATAAATGCAAGTAATTAGTTAATAACTTTAAAACTCAAAAGGATAACTGGTGTGTTAACTACATGTGAAAATATTTTTTACATTAACGAAGATACTGCGAAATATACTAGAATGTGAACATAGACATTATACCACAACACGTTTTACTGGCAGGAATAAAAAAATATCGTGAGGATATATGGAAGAAATATCATTATTGTTTATATATAACGTTATTTTCCAATTGTAATAATTATAGATTTAAAATGACGAATATTTTAAGATATATTGAAATATTCACGTTTAGTTTTGGGCCATTTTAGATACATGTATGTACAGATGTAAAATACGTAATGTATATTAATCATATTAGACCATCATAATATAATTATGATTAATATTTATAGGCTGCTGAATTGGATTTCTTCGAATTTCTTTAAAGCCTTATCAAAAATGTATTTCAGATATAGATATAACGCAAATTTAGATCTTGCTTGGAATATTTTAAAGTAATAAATTATCTCATGTGACAAAATTGAGAGATTGCACTATTTTCACACAATTAGCAAAATAATTATATAAGTTATATTGATTTGTTACGAAGTGTTCAAAGAAATCCCATTTTATCTCCGTCATGTAAATCGATGAGCGAACAATTGCAGATATAAAGATCATGTATTAGAGATAACTTACATTTCAATTGGCTGCGTTTTCGTCGGCACACGATATAAATGGCCACGCAGATCAGTATTAGGACTAGTATCATGACCACCGTCATTACGATAATAATCAGTAGCAGATTACCGTCCAATCGATGCCACCAAGGTATATGTCCTGTAACAGGATAGGTTATAACATATAATAATTGATTTTATCATATGTAAACAAAATGTATAAGGATTATGATGCATGAACGACAACTTCATTTTACCAAAATACAAAAATATTAAAAGTAATTAAAATCGAACAAGCAACGAGAAGTAAATTAATTTATCCGTATAATAACTTTTATATGATCAAGTATTTGCAGCACGTATAAAACTGTAGAAAAAATGCTTGAAATTTTGTAGTACTGAAATAGAGGATAGTAAACAAGCTAAATAATTGAAAAAGACATCTATTGCGTTTTATATTCATATAAATAGTCTATAGAAGAATTTGTTGCTCGCGTTATGACAGAACACAAAATTTAAAGCATTTTTATTTTAATTTTATTCTTTTGCGTATAATACTCTTGTGTGTATCGCGATATATTTTATATTACGTTTAAAACTGCAATCAAATGTTTTATTTAAAAAAAAGGAAAATGTTTATTTTTGTAATATATATTGGATAATAATTATATACACATAAATGGTACACATAATTATATGTAAAATATATATTAAAATTTAAAGTGATGTACACTGTTAAACTTTATAGGGTTAAATTAACTCAATGTGAGTCGTCACTGTTCCTACTCAATAATATTATTATTTTTTATTAAAACAATGGTTATATTTGCCACTATATAGTATCAATTTAACATTATATAGTGTCAAATTTAATTATTATTTTAGAAAAAAATAACGATATATTTAGTAGGAGCAGTGGTGACTCACATTGAGTTAATTTGACCCTATAAAATTTAACAGTGTAGGCGTTAAACTTACGTTTAACTCCATGGTGGGCTGTAAAGTGACAAACTCTACTAAATATATTTGTGATTAACAGATTAAAAGTTATCATTCTCATTATAAGTTAAACGATTACATAGATAATTATGAAAATGTGTTACCAATCTATGTCTCAAAAATATTAAATAATTATTGTTTATAATTAAAAACATTAACATTACGAAATAGTTGTAGTTATAAGATATCTATATGAAATTTATATCAATTACCGATATTTTAAAATTGACATTGCATTCATGTTATTAATAGACGTTTGATTTTATCATATGCGCGTAAAAAACTATTTAGTGGGAAACTTTATTTCTTTTTTTTGTCTCACAACTACTTCCCAATATAACGTAAACTTATAAACTGTATGCACGATCATTACAAAAAAGTTTTTCTATTACCGATATTTTTTCATGTTTTTTGCATCACATATTTTTTTTGCATTTCCATATAAAGAATATATAGAAAAATTATTTCGGAATGCAATAATATTTTCAAATAATCCCGGCTGAAACGTTCCGAAAAGTACTGATGCTATTTTTGTAAATATAACACGATATCAGCGAATCAATGAAAAGTTCATTGTACCAAACCTGGTATATCGCGTTCACACGCTACGGAATGGCCGATTGTGTTGTTTGCCACGCACACGTACGTCCGGAAGTTAGTGACTGAGGTATCGAGCAGCATGTAACTTTTTCCGTTTCGTATTTGTGCGACTTGCTCCAGCGAATCGTTTTCGTTCTTCAATGACCAAGTGAAATCCGTCTCTTTCGGATTGGCGACGGCTGAGCAAACGACATAATCCTGGCCCTCGAATCGTTCTTTTTCTATGTGACATTCTGGTTTAACTGCATGAAAAATATGACATCGCTGTTAGACGCCAAAAACACGTAGAATTACTTTTTAGGAATTTCTTTTATTAACAATATGATATTTTGAGAAACAAGTGAAAAAATATTAAATTTTGCATCAAAATAAAAGATGCAAGTCGAGACGTAAAAATAAAATTTGGAAGAAATATTTAATTTTTTTTTGTAATTAAAACCAGCAAAAAATAAGAAAACAATTGCAAGATTAATTTTATGTTACCCATATATATATATATCTTTTTATAACTTAACAAATATAGAAAAATTGAAGTTTTTTGATTATTTATTTAAAAGTTTAAAGACGTAATGTAACGTACATTGCACATTCATGATAAATGAGATATTCAAGGAGCCGTGACGATTCCATGTCTCACAATAGTAAGTGCCACTACTGCGCCGTGGTATTGGCATTTTCAAGTCAAACACGTGACCTTCCATAATGATATCAGTGGATCCTTCGCGGAACCACCGGAAGTTTGGTTTTGGTCGCGCTTTCGCGTTGCACTCAACGGTTTCCGGTATCGTATCCACTATCACATCGATTATCTTCTTCGATACTGTAATATCCTCTGGGGGAACTTGAATAAAAAATCAATTTTAGTCATTTATATCAATATGAAAAATATAATAGTCTACGCGGCAAATTTAAATTGAAAATAAACTCTTATTTGAGATTCATTTTGTTCTCTTAATTTTAAAATGTTTTTACGAGTATATACTTGAAAAACAATTTTACAGAAATTCTTGTACATATTTTACAATAAATATGATGAAAATTAAATGATGTTAAAGTGCCTTACATATTTGTTTAACGTTAAGTTTAATATCAACAGGAAATTCTCTTTTGTATAGTGTGTGGAACAAGAAAGTTTCTTCTTCCCACAATCTCGCTAAATAAATGGACCGTTATAAAATGGAATGTAAGCAAGTAGAGATATCGCCGCGCCAAAAAGAAAGATTCGGATGAAACGTACACTCGACATGAAAGTGGGTAAAACTCTCCACGCCCGGACCGATTCCGTTGCTGCTGCTCTTGCAGGTAAATTTGACGTTATCCTCAGCACGGTCGAGCTGACCGTTCGGCCAGACCGTCAGATTCCATATGAGAGTCGATTGGATGCTCTCGAAGTCGTCGGTCCTTGGGTCAGGCGGATGATAAACGTTCGACACGTAGTATCGATTCGTTTTCGTGAAGTTCATGGGAATGTCATCTCTCAGCCAGGAAATAGTGCAGATCGGAGCGCATTCGACCCAACACATGATGCTCACGTTAGGCGCGTTATAGACGTAGCCGCGATACGAATGGAGTTTCTTAATGAACGTCGGGGCCACTAATGAGAAACGATAACTCTCGGTTAAGCATAATAGGATTTGCCATTCAATAATTATGAGAAATGTCGGACAATCTATTATATCACTTACAGGAATAGAAGAGATCAGTTTAATATAAAATCTTAACGTTACGTCACAGATTTATCGTGATAGACATATGTTATAATATATGTAGGTTACGTTAGATGATATTCGAAAGAAATTAAGAAATAAAAATTTGATTTATGATGTGTCTAAAATTATAATCTAGAATTTCTCTTAGAATTTCTAAATTTAATTTTGATCAAATTATACGTTTCAAATGTATAACAAGCAAAGTGAATTGAACTATATGAATCCTTAAATATGTCACTGTTGGGTCGAATTCGAAAATGTCGCCATGAAACTCACAGTAATTGTTGGATAAAGTTTTAAGCGCGTTGACATATGTACTCACCAGATACGTCGATAAACGTTGTGGCTGGTTCTCCATCACCAGCTTCATTGTAAGCCAGACATGTGAAATTCGCCTCGGTTTCCAAATTAACTGACTCGATGAAGAGTGTGGCTTCGTTCTCGTCTGGAAGTCGGTGCCAGCCGCGCAACCACTTGAAGCCTGCCACCCTCGGTCGACCGGGATCCAAAACGAAACAAGTGATGGATAATGCTTGTTTCTTCACCACTTGCCGAGGTTCATACGTTATCGACGCCGGGCCGGGCTTATCTGCGAAAATGTTTCAGGGATGCAGGGTACGCGAAGAAAGGAGAAAGAGAGAGAGAGAGGGGGGGGGGGACAAACTTGTATCCCATGCTAAATATAATCCGATTAAATAAGATATTGTAGATAAACGATATTGTCGCGTACATATGTAAGATAAAATCCGCAATAATCGATAATTATTGCTGCAGTAATTAATGTTAAACACAAACGATCGTTTTTATAACGCATTATTTGATAATATTCCAGAAGCCCAGGATCATTAATTATTTTATAACATAGTTCTTTTAAATTGCTATTGACAAATATTGTAAAATCAAAATTTTTAATATAATTTCTATTTGCCATTGAAAATATAAAAAATTCGGAACACGTATTATAGTTGGAAATGTAATAGGCATCGTCAATTTCTGTACTATCACCGCGTAACACGAATGAGTGACAGATGACAAAGAGGACTTACAATAAACTATGACAGACGTGCTCGGGGAGTTCGGTCCCCAACCAGCATCGTTTTTCCCCTCGCAGGAATAGTTGCCGTGGAAGGTGCGGCCGACAGATTCCAGCAGCAATTTGCTGGGATCGATGTCACAGAATGCCAATGATTCCTCGGAGCTTGTCATGGCAGTGCTATTCCTCGAGCAATCCGGAAGTTCTTTCAATAGGTCTCCGTCCAAATACCAACGGACGGCTGTCAGTATCGCCGGATTACCGGCGTCGACCTCGCACGTTAGCGAAACATTCTGACGATCCGCCTCGTTCACAGGTGTTTCCGGATCCATTATCACTTCCACCACTGGCTTATCTATGTAATAAAACACGATATATACATTCGTGCCGTATAAATCTCGCGCGAGTTCAAAAGTACGTCGCACGTCGAGTTCTCTCCAACTTTATTCCCGATGTAATCGCATAGCTTTCAATGAAGCTGTCGTTTTCTAATAAAAAGATTAACTGCGCTCCACGGAAAACTGCCGCGAGAAATAAGAAGATAAGATTTTGCCAAAAGTACAATGGGATTCTGTTGGATTTAGATTTATTACTAACCGTAAGATTTATAACCCACGTTTGTGAACATAAGATTGTAAAGATTTTAGATTGTATCGACTGCTTTTTATTACATTCAGCAATTGACTTCTATTATCTGTCTCGTATAAAAGACGATACGTACAAAAGACTGAAACCTGCACGGTAGCCTCGGAAACGGTTGGACCGGCGTTGTTTTCCAGGATGCATTTGTAAGAACCCATGTCGCTAGGAGTCGCGTTTTTCACTGTGAGTGCTGTTTGTTCCGTGATTCCACCATCGTAATGTTCTTCGTTTAACACTAATTCATCGTCGTCTCGTAACCTATATCACCCGATTTAGAGAGAGAAATAAAACGAGGAAATAGAGCACTAACTTTATTTTCTAAGATGTAAAAGCAACGAAAATATCTTTAGTTCTGCTGCATGAATAAAACAAAAATGTCTTGAGCTCTGCTGCTAATTTATCTAACAGAACCAGCTTTTATTTCCCACAGGAAAATGATCGTTATCCTAAAGGATTCATTCAAGCTAGTATGTATCTTTACGTGGTAATGGCCACTTACCACGTCACCTTTAGTAGCGTAGCCGGATTTGCCTCATAATCGCAGAATATTAAAAAATCGTCTGTCTCGTTAACGGTTATGTTGTTTGGCTTCATTTTAATTATTGGCGGATCTAAAGATAAAACAATCAATGTTACGAACAATGAAAATCAATGTACAACATTTAGATGTAGGCGCAAAAATAGAACATTTACCACTGAAAATTCTGGAGTGAAGGAAGGAGAATGTAATAATCGCTAAATTAAAATTGCTTAATTAAAAACAGATAACTCTTATCTTTTTTAAACGCTAATAAATTTGATAAAATTCTTTTCAGCGTATATTAATTTTCTTGATATTTGTCAAGTTAATGTTGAAGATAAAATGTTTAAAAAAAACATTAAAATAATATATTTCGTTATTATATTATTAGTATAGAAATCGATTCAAAATGACAAATTAATTTTTCTTGAAATCTTATCTTATTTTAAGATTCATGTGCTTTTAACGTATTCGCTTTTTTGTGAAATAAAAATTTCTCTTCTTTCTTCGATATCTGAAACCGTAAAGATTTTTCTATCTTCACGATTGCCTTTTGTTCCAAGATGGATAGCACTAAACTTAAATTGAATATAAAATTTAGATCCGCTTGGGTCACAATATTATATACTTAACAGGTCCTAGAAAATACGGAGGGGGGATAAAACAAAATTCTCGTAAATACGTAGACGCGAAAGTTGCTGTCACGATGCAAGCCGGAGAGTTGGAAACGTGCCAAACTTGATGTCTGGAGTTTCTCGTTTCCAATCCATGGGTAGTCCCCGTTCTGGCTACAAAACGAAAGTTTCTCCGCCATTCCGCACTGTAACTGGAAACATCAGGGAGATGCACAACCGTCCATCTCTTTTTGTCTGTTTCCGTGCTCACGTAATCAAGATATCACGCTCTTAAAAAAGTTGTAACTGCACTGCTGATGATTTTAGAATTAAACGAGTCATAAATCTATAATAATTGACATTCTAAAAAAAGATAATCTATAATGAAATGCCAGAAAAAAGACAAATTTTTTGATTAGTTGTACATGATGTAAAATAATTAATTTAATTTTTTAAATTGTGATTGAATAATCTTTTTTATAGTTGTAAATATATTTTTATTTTCAAGTATGTAGTATTAGTAGGAAGCTTTCATATTTTTTAATGTTTGGACAACACGAAAATGAAATTATATTTGCGAAAATTACATTATTTCATCAGAAGAAAATATTGTGAGAGCGTCTACAGGTATATAAGGAAAAGTTGTCCGGCTATAGCGTATCGACGTTGATCTACCGAAGCATGCGACTGAAAAATTGTATAAACGTTGTGCGACTTGTGTGCGAGTCAATCTTTCAAAAAGGGCAAGATAAATGTTTATTAGATGCTCAAACGGAAAATATTCTGGAATGAAATTCTTTAACTTTCATCCTTTTAAAATTTTCAATCGTTTCTTCTGAACATATTTGCTTTGATTTCTGCAGCGTAAATTGAAAAGTCTGCAAGATTTTCAATTATATTTTTATTCCTTTTCGAAAATTATTAAGTTTATTTTCCTACTCCGATCTATTTTCCGAAAGTTGTCATTTTTAAATATAGAAATGGCTGGAAATCTTTAGGAATAATGACAGGAATAAATCCAATCTTACTATTATAATGTTTTAATTAAAACGTAGAACAACGGGTTATTTAAAATTTCAATCTCAGTTTTTCCTCGTCACGATCGTATGTAAATTTTACATGTCACATTTAATTGTAGAATAAGGAACGAGTTTTTGAATTCGATAGCAAGTTAAGATTCTACTGATTGCTGGCATTTCCAAGTTACGTCAATTTGCATAGCATTATGCTGATGAATAGCGAACTGGTATGTGTAGAGTTATTTATTTAAGGGATTTGGTTTATAAGGACTAAGTATATGCAAATGTTAATAACCGCTCTTGTAACCCACAGTTTCTCGTAGATGCAGAATGTGCTCACTGTTGTACGGAAATGTGCGAATTTTGAGTTACAATGCAATCTTGTTGCAGCAGTCGCTATTTTAACGTTATTAACATAATTGTAACTATTAAAAATGACGGATTTATATTGCCCTTATTATTATTTATAAAATGAATAGAATCAATTATTATTTGATCCAACTTGCTTGTGAGATTATTGGATGTTTGCTTAGATAAAATTGGATTTCATCTTTTCTGAATCAATCCAATCCTATTCGATTCGGTATGACAATTTTGATTTCAATCTCTTTGCGATTATTTGTTTAAAAAGATATATACGTATATATATATATATAATTATAATTATACGTATATACTTTTTCTTAAAAAATATTAAAATCTGAAGATACTTGAGATAAGTGAATAAAAGAATATATAATTTACAAAAATTAAAATCAAACTTATTATACCGACAAAGCCACAAAATACATTGTTGCAAAAGAATGGCTGATGTCAATAATCACTAACTTATCTCGACTTGTAGTATACTTACATAACACTTCGATCGTTGTTGCTTCCTTCATTGGTTTTAGATCTTCGGTACGTGTAACTGAATTCTCAGCGTAACACTTGAACGTCTTGCCGTTGTCGTATACCGATGCTGTAAACGCGAGATAACTTATCGTCTCGAACGTACCATCCTCCTATAAACAAAAAAGTTTAAAGTGATCAATGGAAAAATATTTAAATTTAAATATTTATATCGCTAAATTTATCGAGTATTGATCAAGTGCTTAAACGATATTTTATCTATAAAAATGAGCATGCATTATTCGCGTGGTTCTATTATTTTCTTATTATTCTCTTTTTCGATATATAACTTAAATCATCGTTTATAAATTGTTTTATTTTAAAGTAATAAAAATAATGACATATATGCAATAAAAAATATAGATAATAAAAAACGCGATTATGTTTAGAGATTAATTTAAAAAAATTTAATTCTTTAAACTGAAAAAAATAGAGAGCAAAATGCAAAAAATAGAAGCGATTCAATTAGCGTTTATCTGTTTTGATAGATTTTAATTAACTTGCGTCGTATATTAAAAATATTCACGTTATCATATTTCTATGATATGTTTTAATCGCTGCCGAACATTCGTGATTCATCGAAAAATGGATTTCTGCATCAATTTTCAGTTGGCGAAAAATAAAAGTAATGCAATACTGTAAGCGTCCATTTGAAGCTCCGCGTAACTTTAATAATTCTGTAATTACACAGCGTAATTGAAAAAGTACTAACAAGTCGACATTTGTGAAACGTATATCTTGTTATATATTTGCGTAAAGGTGATCAATTCTTTCTTTCGAGTAATTGTATGTTTCATTAGTACTACGTAGATATTTTGATTTAAAACCTCATATAGAACAATAAATGATTACATAAAAGCTAAATTTATATTCGCTCAATAGCAATATTTTAATTTAAAATAATTTTGATGATATCTCGATCTATATGGCAGTAAAAAGAAACTTTATATTAATAAAAATTAATATATTATTTATTGTATAATTATTGCTTGAATTTATTCTCATTTCTTCTATATAAAATTGTTATTTTCAATGAATTAAACATTACTTCAAAAATAAATTTGTTAAATTTAATTTAAAATGTTTTCATTTAATAGCAAAAAGTAAGATCTAATTATGTAGAACAAATTTTATGAAAAACAACTATCTAAATTACCTACCAGTTCATTAAATTATTATTATTAAGTAAGTGAAAAAAACAATTCGATTTATTCTTGTAAAATTTTTAATTAATTCTATTATTATATGATTAAAATTATATATGAAAATTAAAAAGAAAAAATATATCCCTATAAAAATAAAATTAGGTTTTTTTTTAATAGCGTCAATTTATTAGGAGAATCCGCAAAAACGTACAGAGAAGCATGAAAATAACGCTTGTCGCAAAAATTGTTGTAAAGCCATCTCCTGCTGAGCTTGTAATATCCTACTTCGCGCGAAAGGGTGTACTCGAGCTTAAAAATGTGATGCTCTTAATCCTGTTATGACGTGACGCTCATATTGGCTGTAGGAATTCGTGGCATGTAATTGCTTGTCGTTGGGTACCGGCCTGCTATCGTGTGCAATGTTCTGAACGGATTCAGTTGTATCGTCGCTCGTTCCGTAATCAGGCCTACTTGATAAACAATACAATTATAATATCCCAATCATATAGAATTGCAAATGTTAGAAATATATATTGATAATCGCAATTATACAAACTGGCGATTAATTAACAACGATTTCGATTCGTTAACTTTGCCGACGCGCTGAGATGCAACGGTGATTGTTCTTCTTCAAACATCGTTAATTAACACCGCAAAATGAATTAAATTCGTCGTGCATGCGTTATCTACCTATTCCATATTATTCGAATATTTATTTTCATATTAAAATTATTCAAACAAATATATTTTTATATTTGTGAAAATATTGCAGTACGCAATGTTTAAGTTTGCATATTAAATAACAAAAGGTTATTGCTGATATGTAAATCATGGTACAACCGAAATAGGAATTTTCAGTATTGATTTGAACATTTCACGGATTTCACCGATTAAGGTCCAATTCTACTAATGTAAGATTAATTTTAATCTCTGTCTAATTTACTGTTTATTTTTTCTGATTCTTAGAATTCGAAAAAAATAAAGAGTAAATTAAATCAAGATTAAAGTTAATCTCTTACATTGGTGGAACCGTACTATTTAATAATATTTTGTAATATTGTTAGTTCAATTCACATAAATATATGTCGATGCAAAGAGAGTGAAATAATAAGAGACAGTTGATAGACGTCTTTATTTTAAGAGAGACAATTTTTTCTGTGCATAAAGAACCTTTTGTTATCGAGACGGAATGTCGTTTTATCTACTTTATGACTTTTAACCATGACGACATTTTTTTGCACTAATTACATGTAGGTGCGAGCGGTCTCGTATGCAGTCATTTTGCGTGCACGCGGCTTTATAGCTTCAGATACTTTCGTAATGGATTTATGATAGCTGCGTGACGCCTACGACTTCTACATGCATATACGTATACGCGATAGCGAAACGACATGATATGTAGAGGGGTCTAATGATTTTTCGATGCTACCGCTGCCATGCAACCACTCGTTCGAGCATGAAATTGATTTTTTACAAGTCAAGAATAAAATAGAGCCACGTGACTTGAAAGTAAATGACGATTTCGTGATGTTGTCATTTTTTATTTTATTTTGTTATATTATATTTAAGGATGTATTACACATATTTTTAAAATAATGAAAAAGTTCTGAAAAAATTACAAATTATTCTAGAGAGATCACTAGATTTTATATTTACAAGTAATACAAAAAATTTACCGACAATTTATCATCTGGAACATAAGTTATTTTAATAAGAAATAGACTTTTTCAAAAATAAAACTAAAAAAGTGGCTTGAAATTATAAACATAATCAAAACAGAGTATACAGCCACAACGCCAGATAGTATTTGCGAAAGTTAATTTGTTCAATTACATTAATTTACACGTTTTAGTCACTATTTTGGACCAGCATCAGTAATAATATACTTAATAGAAAATTCTTACAATTACAAATTTATATCTCGTGATGTAGTCTTCTTAATTACAAAACAGATTTTTTACAAAAAAATAAATTATTTAATGCGCTTTTTATAAAATTATGTCTCGCTCTATATTATTCGAAGGAATTTTAATTTGATTCGTCTTGATTTTCTAACGATATTCCATAATACATTATATGAAGATCTTTTGTTCATGAAAGGTTGTATGCAATTATACAACTTTCTAAAAATCTATGTTTTGATAGAAATGTATGGGAATGTATTGAAAAATAATGATAAAAATCTCAATTTTTTTTATACAAGTTTTTAAGTATTCGAGATGATTTATGTAAAGTTACATTACGATGTAGAGATTAATTTTGTAAATAAAATTTATTTTTTCAAAATTATTTATTTTTTCTAAATCTTTGTAACTAATCTCTGAATCATAATGAAACTTTGCATAAATCATTTTGAATACTAAAGTATTCACACACAAAAAATTGAAATCTGTTTGTCATTGTTTTTTCGATTTTAATTTATAGCAATAAAAATAATAACAAATAAAGTAAATAAAAATGTGTTATTAAAAAAAATAGATTGTAACAATTTTTATAAGTATATAGTTTATTTAAAGTATAAATATTAATCATTTATAAAAATAGATATAATACATCTTTAACTATTCCACAATCAAAATTTCATTAAAAATGTTTTTTATTTAATCGAGAGCCATCGGAATTTAAATCTCTTTACATTTTTGTGAGTATTTTTCCATTGTACGATCGCCAGTAGTTTTTATAAAGCAGAGTTGAAAGAAAATTGTATGTAACCACTTCCATTCCTACAAAACAATGAAAGGATAAGTCGGTCCGCAGATAATGCGGTCTTTTCATTCGCGAAATTTCGTTTTTGAACACATCTAAATCGTATCTGATAAAAACTGTATGATTCAAAAAGAAACCTCGAAAAGTACGTCGATCGATAAACTGTCGAACTTCCTAGAGTCTAAATTCGTTTCGACTCTGCCACTTTTTCCAGGGTGAACACGAAAATTTGTTGCTCCACAAAAACGTTAAATGGGAATTAAAATATACGATAGGTGCTGTACCGATCGATTTAGAATTTCCCGGTAGGTAGTTTCTCGAAGTTTACTATGGCACTTGCGAGTCTGTACGCTTTCGCCTAGTAAGTAACTGAATCAAAACTTTCGTGAAGCACTTCTCTCATTCGTTGTCGCGTACCACGAAACCTGCTTATCCTGTACATTTATTTAGATGCAAATAGTGGTGAGGTCGACGCAAAATTCAAGCCTATTAAGAAACTATTATATATCAGAAATTCCGTGTATGTTATCCAATAAACGCGTTTGGCGAATAGGAAGATCTTTTTAGTAAAAACTATTCTTTCTCTATAAAAAAAAATAATTTTGCCAGACTTTAACTCTTAAATTTTACAGGAGCGCATTTTATTCTACTGGGTGGATTTTTATTAACATTGATACTCATATATGTATTATTTGGATCATTGATAACGAATTTAAAATTTTGTAGAAATTAGAAATAATAGATCAAAAAGTTAAAATTTGATGCATTGAATTTTATATTTTTATTCACTTTTCCTCTTTATAAGAATTATTATTGTTGTAAGAAAGTAATTTCTATATATTTTATATATATTTATACGGAATAAATCGCTTTTTTCTATGCTCTCTAAATCTAAACCAGTCATTGATATCAGTGCCAAGTATGCCACTGATAATCAGTGAGTGAAATGTGAAATTCCTAACCTAGAGCTAACCTTTATTATGTGATTTAATAAATTTTATTTTAGTGCATAAATTTAATGAATATAGTATTAGAAGATTGAAATTAACATATAAATATTTTAATTAACATATCAATATTTTAGGATATATGCTCAAATCTCTTTCTTTTTTAATAGAACTTCACTGATTATTCAGTGCCAAATACGTCACTGGGTGATTAGTGAACAGTGGCATACTTGGCACTGATATCAGTGATTATCCACTGATTCAGATTTAGATGAGAAAACACTTTCAGTATTTTTACGTATTTAAAACTTTTTTTAAATAAAAAATGAGCACACGTGAAAATTGTCCATAAATTATATAATACAAATTGAAGTGTGCTTAATATTTATTTAAACTCACAGTCTTCTAACTTCATTAGTTATGTATACCCCAATTAATTTGGAAAATTAATACTCACATTTTCGTGTATTTTTGTTTCGAACATTTCGAATCTCTCATTGCTCTCGCTTAAAAGGTGCGTTCCGTTCTTCCATGTCACATTAGCAGCGGGTCGTGCGGCCTGTACCTTACATTGCAATAAAATCTTCGTACCCTGCACAACGTGACCGACCACTCCCTCCAAATCCATCTTCAACGGACGCACTGTAAAGAGAATAGGCAAGTGTCAGACTAATATGTAATAAAACTGAGATATAACTCGGCCTCGAACTCGGCTAAATTGAGCAAACCATGATTCTGCAAAATTAATATCTTTTAAATGTTTATTAAAATTAATGTCTCTTTATAAACAATTCTGACATTTTCTAAAAAAAATCGAAATCCTAACTCAATTATAACGTTGATTTATTATATATTTTTATTTTGTTTTTTAGCAAACTTTGTACTATTTACTACTATGAAAAAAATATTAGAAATCCGAAATATTTAGTTTTCGTATTAAAAAATAAACTTTTTGAAAACTTGCATTTTTGCTATATATAGATAATGGGTGGGATATATGGCAAAAATGCAAGGGTTTCAACAAACTAAACAAAGAGAATATGAAAGCAAAGCACTTGTATTTTGCTATACAACATGCTTTACTATTCCTCTACACGTATGTATCACGAAATAACCACTAGGTCTTTTACACGCCTTATAGTAATCATTTTATGTAGATTATAATTTATGATGATGCTACATGTTACACACACAGTGACAAATCGATTCAACTCACAATAATTTCATTAATATTAACAGTAAGAAGCTGAAATTATAACTCTATACTAATATAACATAAAGGCATGTAACAGAGTAATTGCAAGAAAATTACCCCTACTCCTTCTATTTTTTCTGACTTCCGCGGCGTAAATCCCAGAGCGGCGTATATACCGGAGTTACCCTATCACAACTAACCGCAAATGCCTCTTTACGGTTTAAATGCTCGTGATTCTTGAACATTGAAGTTTGTGTCACAAACGATAATCTTTTGTGTTGCAATAAAGATAGTTTACGCGTTGCATTTGACGATGTCTGTATAGCTGTCTGTCTAAACGTGCCGTCCTTTCTGTGTATTAGGTCATCTGAAACACAGCCGTTAACGGTAATAGGCGCCATGTAATGACGATCGCGTGGTATCTAGGCTTCGTATGGCACTGAAGCGACATTAGGGTTGGCATGCGTAATTGAGGGTAGATCGACATGATTGTGGATATTTGTGTGAGACGTGCAAAACATTAATTTCAGCAATTTCATATCGTTTCCGATATCTTTTGGCATGTGTAAATTATATTCCTTATTAGCACATATAATTTATTTATAAGTACGAGAAAATCAAAGAAGCGATATATATGATATATGTCGCTTTTCTCTTTCGTACTAACACACACAAATTGATTTATACATATAATATTTTCCTGAGGTTTTGCCCTGTTAGTATTATTTTTATCTTTTATGTGCGTCGAAATATAAATCAGTCTTATGGTTAATCAATCATTTCTGTAGTGATTTTAAAGTAAACAATGTTTATATCAATGTATGCATTTAGTAAATAATAGAGGAAGGTCACCGATACCGACATACCACTTTGTTTTTAGACAATATTTCTTAAACAAAAGGTAAAAATACAACTTCAAAAACA